TTGGCAAAACACTAAAAACTTCCTTAACCTCTGAAACCTCATTGCAAGCCAAGTCATTTGTCCCTAGATGGACAAGTACATCCAATTCCCCTTCCTGCTTTGCTTGCTTAACAATATTACAGATACGTCTCCTGTCTCTGTGAGCAGTAGCTCCGGGAAGACACCTCACAAGACCACCATTGTCCATCTCCACACCTCTTATAATGGAATCACCCAACAACAACTGCTTTCTATTAGGCTTCACCATACTCTCCAAGCCGGTCTCCACAACACCACTAGTCTCAGTGCCTCTCTCCACAACACCACTAGCCTCAGTGCCTCTCTCCACAACACCACTAGCCTCAGTGCCTGCCTCTCTCCACAACACCACTAGCCTCAGTGCCTCTCTCTACAACACCACTAGTCTCAGTGCCTCTCTCCACAACACCTCTAGTCTCAGTGCCTCTCTCCACAACACCACTAGCCTCAGTGCCTCTCTCCACAACACCATTACACTCTGAAAGTGCAGAAAATGAATTATGAAGAGCAACAGACTGTGCAAAATGCCTTTTATCCACAACTCTAAGTCTACCAGATCCTACAGTAATCCATCTGCCTTTCCTAGCATGTCTCTGCGGCAGTGGCTTTGCAGCAGTTCCAGTCTGAGTTTCTTCACCAGATAATTTACAAATCTCAGACTTCAAAAATACAATCTCCTGCCGCAAGATAGAGAACTGTCTACAGATTAGACAACAACCAAACCTCCAAAAAGTGGAACGTGAAACAAATGCATAGCAACTATTACACTGAACTAAGTCTGCCATTCCAATGAGGTGAATAATTTAAATCAAACGAATCTTAACTTTTTATTTATCCTCCTTAATACTTCAGATTACCTCCAGGTTATCTCCAGAATATCTCCAACGACACACTTAGAAACAGCACTCTCCAGAATATCTCCAACGACACACTTAGAAACAGCACTCTCCAGAATATCTCCAACGACACACTTAGAAACAGCACTCTCCAGAATATCTCCAAGACAACACACTCTCCTCTACACACTTAGAAACAGCACTCTCCAGAATATCTCCAACGACACACTTAGAAACAGCACTTAGAAGTAGCACCAAGCTATATTAGACAAGCTAATGGAACCAGGCCTTATATAACTCCTAAAATCACCGCCCACTAGGAATGATTAACACCTGGGTAGGCCTCTGCTTATTTGCAAACAATAGCTAATTAACCAGCAATCAACAGCAAGTAACTAGCTTAATCAAATCAAATGCCTTATAATTACCAACAGGAATTCAAACCTTGGGCAATCAGTAACCTTTTCCTACAGATGAATCTTACCTGTAACAGTAGAAAAGAAAGCTCTTAGCACAACTCTTAGACAGTTGAAGCTTCTGTAAAACTCTCCAGAATATCTCCAACGACACACTTAGAAACAGCACTTAGATGAAGCACCAAGCTATATTAGACAAGCTAATGGAACCAGGCCTTATATAACTCCTAAAATCACCGCCCACTAGGAATGATTAACACCTGGGTAGGCCTCTGCTTATTTGCAAACAATAGCTAATTAACCAGCAATCAACAGCAAGTAACTAGCTTAATCAAATCAAATGCCTTATAATTACCAACAGGAATTCAAACCTTGTGCAATCAGTAACCTTTTCCTACAGATGAATCTTACCTGTAACAGTAGAAAAGAAAAAAATTATGGACTACTCGTGGGTGTTTAGCATGCCTACCTCCTACAGTGTGCTTGCAAAACAGCATAGTAACAGTATATTCAAAGCAAAATAAGCAAACATGTAAAGGGATACAGTATAGCTGCTCAAGATTATGAGTAACTTAATTAGCCAATATAGCAAGTAAGGGGTAGTGACTGATTTTTATAAGAGAGATTGCTGGATTTTTTGCTCGGGTAGCTTGAAGAGTAATCCACTGTGGCCCCATACACTGAACTAAGCTTAAACAATAATAACTTGGCATGGTTCAAGATGAGGTTGGTGCTTGCAGATTGCCGGGATCCATAACCAGTCATTCGTGTCAAGGTTGCAGAGCTGAGTGAAGGTGCAATGTCCACTTTGCTGACCATCACCCGAGGGGAAAGAAGGAATGGGGCAAGTGTCGTAGTTGGTGGCCGTTTCTGTCTCTGGTAGCGGCACCCCACAAGTCCCAGCTCCCGGTGTAGTCCTGCACACCTGTTGTGTCAGTCCCACTATAGAGCGCTGCCGGAGCCCAGGGTCCCCCAATCTGTAATTGTCTCCCAGGTGGAGTAGTGGTCTCCTGGAGGGGAGGGAAGCATGGAGGGGGTAGCCTCGGGATAGTTTGCTTTCCTTAGAAGTAGGGCGGCACACTGCTGGTCTGGTTCTATGGCGCTGACGTTTCCGCCGGTTCGCACACCCTCTCCTCCCTGCTATCCGAATTGTGCCCATGCCCTTTCCAGGGGTTGTGGGTTGCCACACGATTCCGCGCGGTTTCACTGCCTGTGTGGCCTCTTCGAGAGTGTTCCTGCAATGAGATATCTTGGCCCAGAAGTCAGCAAACAGGCAATCAAGCCTTTTGGAGAGAGAGGGCAGCGGAGAGCTGGTTGTGGAGTTGCATGTGGCATCAGCCATGACATTAATTGCGATGCAGGTATGGCAATGTTGGTGCCTTGTTGCTGAGTTACAGCGGGGGGGTGGAGGGGTGGATACCGGGGAGACCTCCTGTTGGTTAGGCTGAAGTTGGCTAAAGGATCGGCCGCCTCCCTTGTGCCATCTGAGTAGGCCTCTTGTAGTCCCGGTGACGGAGCTCTGGGGTTTGTGATCAGGTGATATTTGGGGTTATTTACTGCGATTTCGGCTGGATAAGGGCAGATTATCACGGAGCTCTTGTGATGTGCGACCGCTCAGTGTGACTGTCAGGCTCTGCCCTTGCAATTAGGTTTTTAACAAGTTTTCAGACATCTGTAAATTTATTCTGCATTTAATTATATGGCCAGCTTATCATTACTTTATACTGCTGCTTAAGCTGTTACCCTTACATCCTACTAATTATAAACCTAAGAATACTTTGGTCACGTTCCAAGAGCGATGTAATGAGGCATGCAATCCATTTATTATGTGCACACATGATATAATGCTACAGGGAGATAGCAGAACATACGGCTCTAGGGAATATTATCTAGCCACAAGCCATGCATTCACACACCATGCTTTAATCTCTGACACATAAACCTAGCTAGAAGTGGATTGGATCATCTTTAAATCCCAGTTAATTAACATGTAATTACTTTATTAGCACTTTGTAACAGAGACATAGGTTTGACATTGTTAAAGGGTTTTCAGAGATATGTATATGGTTTGCTTAGGGGATACAAGCAAATTGAATCGTTGCACCACTGGCCTAAAGGGATGCTGAGAGTGTATGATGAGCAATCTATCCTGCAAGGTTATTGTCTTGTGTCCTCTTTGAGTCTAACCTCTATTTCACCTTCACATCCAGTCAATGTTCCCATCCTGATATTACAGCTTAAAAATATAGCTTGAATTTGCCCCTTGAATTTACCCGATGCATCTAAATTGCTTGTGCATGCTCTTATCTCTTAACCCGACCACTGTCAGTCACTCCTCACTAGTCTCACTCAAGCTCAGATTGCAGGTTACAATCTACTGCGGCCAATCTCATGCACTCAGCTTTCCATAGCTCACCCTCTGTCAATCTTTACACTGGACCCATATGGTCCTGGATTAAATTCAAACTCCTAGTCCTTGGATTCCTTCACTCTTTTGTCAATACCAACATTGCAAATAACCTTTTTCTTTCTTCCAAATAAATTTCCATGATCCAAGCACTGCATGTCACCTACCTATTCTGATGAAGCCATCTGGTAAGTGCCTATCTTTGGTACTTGGCTCCAAACCTTCTTTCTAAAGAAGAAGAAAAACAGTTAAAAAACAAACAAGCATTCTTTAGATCATTACGTTATTTTGATATAAAACAATAGTGTAGGTGTTGTTGTTGCTATCCAATAAACAGAGCTACTATCACTCAGTGCAGGTCACTCCACAAGACAAATATAGTGCATACACACTATAAACAAATAAAATTGGGTGAGCGCACAGAGAATAAAATAAATGCAATTTTACCACAGACTGCACAAATCAGGGCCGGACTGGGAGAAAAATTCGGCCCGGGCATTTTTTTAACACAGCGGCCCACTAAAAAGGGGGCGGGGCATAGGAGGTGTGTTTTGTCATCACCAATGACAAACACGCCTCCTCTCAAAGTGAGCATGTTGGTTCAATGCTCTTCCAGGGCAGACCATGCGCAGAGCTCTGCTGAAGAGCTCTAGCATGAGAAAAAAGTCCTGTATTTGTTCTGCACAGTGCAAGCAAATTTAATAACATGCTTGCACTGTCTTTCCTTGCAACTTGTCTCTGGTGTCTCTATAAATGGATACCAGGAGACAAAAGGCCAGGAAAGAGTATTATGCATGTGTTTGGAGCCTGCTTGTGGTATTGCGTGTGTGTAGAGTGAGCTGGTCGTGGTGTGGTATTGTGTAATAAGGTCGGTTTTAGTCGTGTTGTGTTTGTGGTGTAATGTGATGCATATGTGGCTCAGGGACCCCCTCCCGCCCGGCTCTGGAAAGGGGTTAAAACTTACCTTTTTCCAGCGCCGGGCGGGGAGCTCTCCTCCTCCGATCCGCCCCGTCGGCTGAATGCGCACGCGCAGCAAGAGCTGCGCTCGCATTCAGCCGGTCGCATAGGAAAGCATTTATAATGCTTTCCTATGGACGCTTGCGTGCAAAGCACGCAAGCGCCTCTAGCGGCGGTCAATGAGACAGCTGCTAGAGGCTTTGGGGGAAGGCTTAACCCATTGATAAACATAGCAGTTTCTCTGAAACTGCTATGTTTATAAAACAATGGGTTAACCCTAGAAGGACCTGGCACCAAGACCACTTCATTAAGCTGAAGTGTTCTGGGTGGCTAGAGTGGTCCTTTAAGAGTGTGTGTGTGTGTGTGTGTGTGTGTGTGTGTGTGTGTATGTATGTATGTATGTATATATATATATATATATATACACACACACACACACACACATATATATATTTGGAAGTATTGTGTATGTGTGTGGTGCAGTGTGTTGGGGGGGTTCTGTGTGTATGTGAGGGGTGCAGTATGTGTGTGTGTGAGGGTGCGGTGTGAGTAATGGGTGTGAGAGTGCCGTGTGAGAGTGCCCTGTGTGAGATGGGTGTGAGAGAGTGCTCTGTGAGAGTGCTGTGAGTGTGATGGGTGTGAGAGTGCTGTGTGAGAGAATGCTGTGTGTGTGTGAGAGTGCTCTGTGAGAGTGCTGTGAGAGAGTGCTGTGTGTGATGGGTGTGAGAGTGCTGTGTGAGAGAGTGCTGTGTGTGTGAGAGTGCTCTGTGAGAAAGTGCTGTGTGAGAGAGTGCTGTGAGTGTGATGGGTGTGAGAGTGCTGTGTGTGATGGGTGTGAGAGTGCTGTATAAATGTTATTGTGTGTGTGTGTAGGGGGGGGTAAATAAAAAAATAAAATAAAAAAAACAGGCATTATTCCCCCCCCCCCTTCTTACCTTTAGCCTGGAAGGGAGGGGGGGTCCGGCACGCTGGCAGGCAGGGTGGCGGTGTTCCCTGGTGGTCCTCGTGGGTGAGTGAACTCTAGCCTGTGAGGCTAGAGTTCACTCTCGCGAGATCCGGTCGTTGCCATGGCAACGCGCCGGATCTCGCGAGAGGAACCCGGCGGAGCTGCAAGTTAGAGCTCCGCCGGGTCCTCTCTCCAGCCTGGCTGGCTGGCTGTCTCCCTCCCTCCCCGCCGGCGGCCGCATGTGGGCCGGTCAGGGAGATCCTTGATCTCCCCACCGGCCCGTCGTGGCACAAAGCGGGGCCGGCGCTGGGAGAGTGCCGGCCCTGCATAGACCGGCAGGGGAGATCCTGGGACCTCCCCTGCCGGCCTCGGCCCCACGGACACCGCGGCCCAACGGGCATTTGCCCGGTGTGCCCGATGGCCAGTCCGGGCCTGGCACAAATAGTTTAACCTGGAAAATAAAATAAAAGGTAGACTATAGTGCTGCAATATTCATTTTCATATATGTATATGCACACAAATAGCATCACTCACATGTTGCTGAGCCATTTATTAGCAGGCTCAAACTTTCAGTGCCTTAAATTAAGTCAGAGGTGGATTGTTCTGAAATCATATGCTCGATATGCAATCAAGTATTCAGAAGACTCCCCTCTCAAACTCAGATATTTATAAAATAAATAAGTAAAAAGGAAGTAAAAACTTTAACTTGAATTTATTGAAAACAAATGTATATTATGAAATGTATCAATTATATATTTTTGTCTCGGGATTCTTTTCTATTTTTCTCTTATTTTAGATCATTCTGAAAAGTTAAAAAACAAAAGATGTGGTTTTAGGTTACACTTTTATATTAAAAATAGCAATAAATATTTTCTATTTTATCTTTATCCTAATTGGTAGATATCCTCTATATTACAGTGTATATTTATGAATTTTTATTATTTTCCAGGTGATATTTATTTTTATATTCATACTCCATTTTTATTTTTTCCTTTTTTGTCAGTAAGACATACATTTTTAGACATTGGGAATGTTTTTTTTTTTTTTTTTAACATGTTTTTCAGGTTTGTTTGTATAAATATATGTGTAAACAATAGCTATTGACCGGACATTGCTATGAACTATGCACAAAAAGTTCCCAAAATTCCAAAATATTCACTGGATTTGAATGTGAATCCGCAGGAAAATGAGGAGGCTCCACTAACATGGTGCTAGGAGCTGGGTGCCAAATCATGTGATTGGACGAGATATGGGATGACGTGAGGGCATCATGGTGTTGAGACACCATGATGCCAGAAACAATGCCGTTAAAAAAAAACGGAAATGAGGTATACGAATGAAAAGGCACTCTGACATAGAATGGAAAGCGTGCCAAAATCAACATATATAAGAGAGCAGTGCCCAGATGGAATATTACTGCACTTTGATAAAGACTGACCGTTGAAACACGTTAATACAGGTGGACTTTTTGTTTTAATAGAGATCTTGTTTTGTGTTTTAAGTTTGTTTTCAATCAGTTAAAGGAACACTATAGAGTCCGGAACACAAACATGTATTTCTGACCCTATAGTGCTAAAGCCACCCCTGGTCCCCTAAATATAGTAAAATCTTACTTGTATTCAAGTCACCTGCTGCTAGCTCTGCTCCTGTCAGCCTCTGAACTGCATATGACCTCTGACATCATCAGAAGTAGTGGTCTGAGCCACAATACTTCCCCATAGGATTGGCTGAGACTGACAAAGAGGCAGATCAGGGGCAGAGCCAACACAAGTCAAACACAGCATTGGTCAATAAGCATCTCCTCATAGAGATGAATAGAATCAATGCATTTCTATGAGGAAAGTTCAGTGACTGCATGCAGAGGGAGGAAACACTGAATGTTTGGATTCACACTAGGCAGGACTGCCCCAGGAAACCCCCCCAGCAGTCATCCAAGGAGTGGTCAGTGAAGTTATCACTAGGCTGTAATGTAAACACTGCATTTTCTCTGGAAAAAAAGTGTTTATTGCAAAAAGCCTGAAGGGAATGATTCTACTCACCAGAACAAATTCAATAACATAGAAACATTGAATGTGACGGCAAATAAGAACCATTCGGCCCATCTAGTCTGCCCAATTTTCTAAATACTTTCATTAGTCCCTGGCCTTATCTTATAGTTAGGATAGCCTTATGCCTATCCCACGCATGCTTATACTCCTTCACTGTGTTAACCTCTACCACTTCAGCTTCTTTTAAATATAGTCTCATCCTTTACTGTGTTGACTCTGAGTTGTTCTGATGACTATAGTGTTCCTTTAAAGTTTTTACTTCCTCTCTACTTATTTATTTTATTAATATCAGAGTTTAAAAGTGGAGTTTCTGAATACTTGATTGTATATCCAGCACCTGATCTCAGGACAATCCACCTCTGGCTCTGGCACTGAAAGTCTGAGCCTGCTAATACAGCCTGCTAATAAGTGGCTCAGCAACATTAATATAAATATTGTTGCAGGATAGTCTACCTTTTATTTTGTTTTCCAGGTTAAACTATTTGCCCAGTCTGTGGTAAAATTGCAGTATTTTATTCTGCGTGCTCTCATTCAATATTATTTCTTTATTTTGAAATAATACATACCATTTACCTATATGACTAAATGGTTTATTCACCAATAATTGCAAGCTACGGCAAACTGACAAAACATATGGGAACGTTTAGCCCTAAGTAGCCATGACGACAATTATACTCGTATAGATTTCTTTTTTTTCAGGTTTGGTTATTTTAGCCTACATTTTTAATGAGAAAATAAACACTATACATTAGTACTTTTATTAAACACAAACACAGGTGAATGTATGACGATTCATTTTGTTCTAGATCAAGTGGAATGTGGAATGTGGACCTGTCTGCTTCCAGTGTGTGTGACTACGACCTTTCCAGTAGGCAAGGAAATATTGTTAGTAAATCTTACACTTGGTAGGAGTTCTGGACATGTTATGTTCCGCAGCACACCCATCCATGTACTCCCATAGTGCTGCACACAACATGACAGAGTGATTCTGTACATGTACAGCCGCCAGACTAAATAATCTGATTTACAATCAATATAACTAGCACTATTTTAATTATTTATTAATATGCATAAAGCATTATTGTATAATCTATAATGTACCATAATGCTATGTTAGTGAGATATCAATAAAACCTCCCCATTAATAAATGTGCCAAAATGGATCAAAATATAAAAAGGAAATTGGCATCATACCATGAGCGGCAAGACCTCTACTGTAGTATTAAGCAACAAATCTTCAGGGTGTTCAGGGTTTCCACTCCGAAACAGATATCTACAAGCAAAGCAAAAAGGAATTAAAACCTAGTATTAGCATAATGAGGGAGTAAATGAAATGAGAAATAAAAATAACTAAACAGAATTTCCCTGTTGCATTAGCATTCAATGGTTTTTTTTATCAGTCGTGATCATGTGAGACCCAGTCCATAGAACCTTGACGGTAGTCACCCTCTAACCCAAACAACCCCAACACTAACCTAAAGCACCCCCAACCTCAAGTCCCTCTAAACTACTGCAACCTTAAACCTTTATCACATTACCGCAGTGTGATTAAATATTAGGGATATTAAAAGCAAGGCTTTAAAACTTTTTTAATGTTATGCATGCCATATGTCCATTATTCAAATCCAGCTCCCACACACTATATTCCTTCCTCCATGCCAGCAATCCCTTTATCTGATAGCAAGATCTCCCTTCCATTTCTTCTAATTTTCCTCTCCCTTAATGTCAACTTCATGTTGTTATCTCCATTCATTAGTTATACTCCCCCATATTTAAGAAGAAAACACCTCAAACCCCTGCCTGCAGAGGTGCACCAGTGCTCCGCAACATCTATAGGGAAAGTTTTTGGCTCCTGAGATGGTGTGACTAAATATGCTGGTCCATCCCTTTACAGAACCAACATTAAATAATCCGAATAGAGATTTAATGGTTAAAATATGAAAAAAATAAAAAAAGTAAAGTCACTTTTGTTTGGGACTACTCCGAGCACAAAACATAGGGTAACCTCTGGTCATATATATATATATATATATATATATATATATATATATATATATATATTTGTTATCATAGGAGAATATTATTTTAGGACAAGAATTAAGTACATCCTGGTTCACAATTGATTTTACAAAATAATTCCTAAAATCTCTATGGATTCAGAAAGATACCAGGTTCACCCCGCCAGGTGCATTAACAGAGTAGATGTAGAGAGAGACTCATATTAGGTGTTCCTGTGAAACCCCTAGCTTGATCTTATCAACACCTCTACCTTTTGTAGACCTGGGTACCAAAGTTGTTTTTTTTACTTCTGAATTCTGATGTATGGGATAGAGGATAAGAGAGCTTGGTTTGGGTCAAGTTTGGGTCCCAGTTAGTTTAGTTCAGATTCACAGAACGTCACAGTTTCATTTGATAAAATTCCACATAAATAAAATTAGCAAAGATCTAAA